CAAAGGTAGTAAACTTTGCCTCATCCAAAGTTACACTGAAATGGGCAATTAAAAAATCTCATCAACTCTTAATTATGAACTTGAGGGTAGTTGTTAATATAGAATAGTTGACATAGCTTTTTTGTTTTTTTTAAATCCTGATAAAGCACGTGTAGTTTGAGCCAATAAAACTTAGGGCCCCAAGGCAGGCGACTCTGAAACTGAGCAGTCTGGGTGCGCAAGAAAAGCACCATCTGGGTTACGTCAGACCTGAAAGCTCACGGGACGAATGTTAAAGAAAGGTACGTTGCAGCAGGATTTGGTTGGGACAAGTCGTCTCAACGACCTAACTGCACCTCTTGCATTCACTAGGACACAGCCAAGGGCCATTGTTGTTCAGCTTCTACATTCGAACCCCGCTACAACGAAACTGGGGGGCAGAAAAAATTCCGTTGAAGCGAAAATTTCGTTGTAGTGAAATTGGAAAAAATACCGCTGATCTGAGCTAGCAAAACGAAGAAATGTTTATTCTGAAAATTCAAAAAATGTCCGCTGCTTTTTATTCTTTCCCAGCAGCGCCACGACGTGATTCTCACCCATGCATAGCTAGGCCATGGTGAAAAGCATGCTGAAACAACGCCTAAAACAGCTTTCGTGAACGAACCAAACAGTTTCATTAACACGTTAACACTAGCAACTGTCCGTTGTCAAAAGTATCCAACAACACCAAGATGGAGGCAGGGTATCATGGAGCGGGGACTTTTGCATTATTCTATGCCATTCTTATTATCCATCACTCGCGACTAGCTGATTTTATTGATAATGTGGACAAACAGCCGCTCTGATTAGTTACCACACTGGCCAAGCGCGAACGTAATAATAAGAATCGGAATCGGAAAAGGCATCGTGCCGTGGTTGCACCCAGCAGCTGCGAGAAGGAAACTATAAACTGAGCGACTGAGCTTCAGTGTTGGATCGTCTGCTGCTCAAAAACAAGCCATTGGTAAAACAAAAGCAGGGCAGTCTCGTTGCCATCACTATCGAGCAATGGCAGCGCGAATGCTTGCTCAACAGCGGCGGTATAGCGGCGTTTTCTGGTGGTGCCAACGCGTATTTTAGACTTCGTTGACGCATTTTCAGGCTCTAAAAGTGCATCGAAATATTAAAGCTTGGGTTTACTGCATAGCAATAAGTAACTGAGCCTGGAATTGCATCGTAAAATTTTGTTGAAGAGGGACAATGGAAGAAAAAGTGTTCGTTGTGGCGACAATATTTATACACTGACTCCTATGGACTGCTGACGGGGAATCGTGAATTTTTCGTTGTAGCGTAAATTTCGTTGAAACGGCATTAGTTGTAGCGGAGTTCGACTGTACACGTAAACTTCGATATAACGAACCCGGATAAGACAAAATACTGGTTTTAAAAAAGTAATCGAAAAGCAGTCTTGCAATAGATACTTTCTCAACGAATTTCTAGATATAACGAACCTATTTTTCATGTAATCTGTAACATTGTTATAGTGCAGTCAACTGGTTAGTAGTAAATGTGGTGAGACTGCAAGTGTGCTGTATAGCTTTATTATTGAACTGTCAGAAAAACTTCAAATTTTTCTTATTTGACCAGTTGCAATTGACCTACCATTCTGGCAGCCCTTTAGGGGCAAGCAATGGAACCAAAGCTGCTGGATTCTCGTGCTTTCTCTCAGCGTCAGGCATGGGGATTCCTTAATATTTTTCTGCAATATTCGTCTACATTTCATAGTGCTCATTTCAAATCTCTGCTTTCTTGCATGCCTAAAACTACAGTGGGACACTGCTGGCCTGCATGGGCACCGATTAGTGGTGTATTCCCGATACATTTCAGTATACCTTCATTTCCTGCACAATAGGTAAATAAATAATATCCCAATATAGTGAGGAGCACAAAAATCTACTCTGTTCATGTTTGAAAAACGTGACTGTGTTGGTTTTCTTTCAAAGATGAATTTCAATCAACTCGCCCAACTGTCCGTAAGTCTGTTCTAATCATGGTGTAAAAAATATCCCTGCGTAGCAGTGTTGCGTGCCCTTCTATTAGTTCCAGCACGCTCATCTGGGGGCCGTCAGCTCGATGCATTTAAGTGTGGCCAAGCACAGTGCATGTTCACCATGTGTAGCAATGAAACCCTGTCTTTTGAGGCAGAAAACATTGAGCCCTTTTCTCAACAGGACCCAGTTCTGCTGGATGGGACAAAACACCTTCTGCCCATCACAGGTTCACAAAACGATTGCTGCCACAATGAAAAAAAAACAAAGCATGCAAAAGCAGCATAGGTGCACCAACAGAAAGCCCAGAAGATTTCAATGAAAGATCTGTTACACCAAATTGGTTAATGTTTAAATCCAAAATGCATGAGCTGATCAGTACTTACATTTCAGCCATCGAAATTCGTGAACGCAGTACTTCCAGCTGGTTTAATCTTGAACTTAAAAGGCTTAAAAACAAGAAGCGACAATTTCGCTCAGAAAAAAGCACCAACAATGCCGTAGCGGGGCAAAAATATCAGGCCACAGCAAAACTGTCCTGCTCTGCTCTAGATAAAGCGAAACGACTCTTCAATGAAACAACCTTGCCCAATTTACTCCGCACTAACCCCAAACAGTTTTGGAAGGTGATTAACCCACGACACGAAAACAAATCCATATCCATATTGGATGATACTCGGCAGCCTATTGTCTATAACAAAGTAGCTGAAGCACTAAACCTTACTTTTTCTTCTGCCTTTACCAGAGAACCAATTGATAACCTCCCTGATGTATCTCCTCTCAACTACCCTCCCATGGCCGATGTCATATTTTCACCTCAAGGCATCCAGAAAATCATCGAATCGTTAAAACTTACTTCATCTTGCGGCATCGATGGCATCAATGCTAAGGTTCTCAAGAACGCCAAAGAAATCACCAGTGTTATTCTTTCTCATATGTTTCAGCAATCCCTCTCATCCGGCACTATTCCTCATGATTAGAAAGTGGGTAAGATCGTTCCAGTTCCAAAACCAGGTTCATCTAGTTACCGACCCATTTTCCTAACCAGCGTCTGTCCAAAAATAATGGAACGTATAATTAATTCCGAAATTGCTAAATTCCTCGTCTCAGTCAAGTTTTTTCACCCTAACCAACACGGATTCCAAAAAGGACTCTCATGCGATACTCAGCTTGCATTATTCATCCATGACTTAAGCGCAAGTGTAGACCTTGACATACCAGTTGACGCCATTTTTATAGATTTCGAGAAAGCTTTTGACGAAGGTCCCCACAACCGCCTTCTACTGAAGCTCTACCATTTAAACCTTAACCAACTTGTCTACAATTGGATTAAAGACTTTCTCACTAACCGTCAGCAATTCATAGAAGCTAATGATACGTCTTCATCTCTTTCTAACGTCATTTCTGGTGTACCACAGGGAACAGTTCTGGGCCCTCTACTCTTATTAATTTACATAAATGACTTACCCGATAATATTTCATCTAACATTCGCCTCTTTGCTGATGACTGTGTAATATACCGACCCATTACTAACATTGCAGATAGAGCTACCCTCCAGCGTGACCTACTAAAACTTGGCGAGTGGTGCAGAAAATGGCTCATGGTTTTAAATACTTATAAAACTGCACTTGTTTTATTCCACAGACGCCAGAACTTTGCTGCTGCTAACTATATAATTAATGACTGCACAGTTTCTTCCCTCAGCTGTATTAAATACCTTGGCGCTAACATTTCACAGAATCTAAACTGGTCTTCTCATGTAAGTAAAATAACTAACAATGATAACAAAACTCTTGGATACTTTCGTCGTAACATACATCTTGCCCCTCCTTCAGTAAAATTACTAGCCTACAAAACTCTAATTCGCCCTAAACTAGAATACGCATCCACCATTTGGGACCCACCACAAAGCAACCTAAGTAAATTCATTGAACTAATTCAAAACCGTGCAGTTAGATTAGTCTATTCTGACTACTTATACCACACCAGTGTTACTACTCTTAAAAGTAAAGCAGGATTACCTAACCTTGACTTACGTCGTAAGATTTCTAGACTCTCATTGTACCACAAAATGTATCACGCGTTTCAGCATAACTCCCCTATTCCGCCAGCCCGTCGGACTTCAGCCCGCATTAGTCACCACAAGGCTGTGTAACCTCCTCCTGCTTGCATTACAGCCCACCTTCATTCCTTCTTCTCTCAGGCAGCCAGGGACTGGAACGATCTTCCCTCAAGTGTTGTCGACCACTCCAACACAGATACATTTAGAAATGCCATAGAATCGTTGTTTTACTAAATCTTTATTGTTCGCCCACTCCCTCATGTAAAGCCCTCTCTTAAGGGCCTTTGAGGTATAGTAAATAAATAAATAAATAAATAAGTACCGTAGATTTTTGTTAAACAGAACCTGAAGAGACCGGGGAAATGTTTAACAGGAATTTCTGTTTAATGAGGGGTGAACAAGAGTGCAGAATTCACGTATGATACCGATCATGCCGGAGGCAGCTGTTCCATTGAACAGATTTCCATTTACTGATAGTCTACTGTACTTACACCTGCTCTGCCACCATGCTTACAACTGCGTGCAATGGGCACAAATGATGCGCCTTTAAATATTTAGCACTGGCTCTCTGATGATAGCTGAAATGCGCAGATGTGGTCAACACATTCTTGGCATGGCCATCATGGAGAGGCCTATGGTATTCCCCCCCTCCCTGTCGTTCTTGCCATTCTCACATGCGACGCTGCAGTTCGGAAGGTCAGCCATCTCAGAATCGTACGAGGTTTGGGTGTGTACTATGGTTGAGGCGGTGCAATGCTCCCAAGCACACTTGGTCATTTATGGTTTAACAGGCCTTGCTGTGTCACCTTGTTTTGTTGAAGGCAGAAAGTTTTGTTGAGGAGAACTCATGCTGAGGAACCTAAATTGAGTTTTATCCCTATGAACTTGACCCAGATGATGATGGAACTAACGAAGGCATCTTGTTGTGCAGAGCAGGCAGCTGTGGCAGCGCATGAACGAGCTGCAGCGGGAGCATGCGTCGATGCGGCTTGATTTGGAGGCCATGCAGGCCACCCTGGTGCAGGCCCGTCACTCAAACCGAGGTGGGAACATTTTTTCCATTATTGTTTTCATCTTGCCACTACAACAGTGCAGAATGTGGCAGGAGCCAATATTGAACTCTTTACTGGGCCCTTTGAGCCTCCCAGATCAGTGGTAGCTGCTGCTGTCATGGTCGGCTACTGAGTCAAATGTTGTCAGTCCCATCACTGGTCCCAAAAGGTGCTGAGCTATCTCGGTGGAACATTCGGAAACATTCAAAAAGGTTCTCACACATTTGTTAACAACATGCACTGAGCGATTAAGAGGTTTAGACAGTGGAATGCAGTCCCTCTGAACAAAAAAAAAAAACATTTAAAAAATATGGTGATGCTACAAACAAAACAGGAAAGCCAAGGAAAAAGGTGCATAACCTTAAGAATTTCTTTTAGCCTAGAGCGAGGGACCACAACTGGAGTGAACAAGTCAGTGGTCGCTTTAGGCCAGCGTCTCTTCTGGAAGACCCTTTTTTCTTGCACAACAGAGCAGCTGAGAGACTGCGACAAGAAGTCTGCATAACATTGACTAAAGTTCAGATACAAGCATTAAATTTCACACTTGCACTGTTTGAAAAATTCAGAAACATGCCTGCTCAATTAGAGCTCTCCAAATGCACTACTTTTTAAGCAAGTCACATCTCAAATTCATAAAATAAAAATTGTAGCTTTTTCCAATTGATGTACAGAAAATGTAATTATTACATATTTGAAATCAGCATACAAAACTGAATATTCTCTGAAAAAATCATGTGTCTAGGGCCAATAGTAACAAATTTCGCTCTCCAGACCCATGTCCCCCTTTAACCATTGAAGACAGTGTTGATTCATCTCAATAGTAATTGTCAAGTAGTGTCGAAAAAGTTCCACACTTTCTTCTAGCTTATTTCTCGCAGAGGCACCCAAATAAAAAGTGACCCTGCCGCTCTAGTGGCTACTAAGGTACTAAGGGCTGCTGACTCGCAGGTTATAGAATCGAATCCCGGCTGCAGCTGCTGCATTTTCGATGAAGGCGGAGATGCTATAGACACAGGTGCTCAGATTTGGGTGCACATTAAAAAACCACAGGTGGTCGAAATTTTTGGAGCCCTCCACTACGGCGTCTTTCAGAATCATATGGTGGTTTTGGGACGTTAAACCCGATATATCTATACAACTAAAAAGTGTGTCTATGGCTATGTTCTTTGCCTGGAATGTATTCAGCCTCTTATCGATATAGCACCATTCTCATCTTCAGCCTCTCTAATCATCAAGGGTCCTTGAAGTGAAGAGGGAACTTGATGGCCCATGATCCATCTCCAGCCTGAACAACTTGCGAACAACTTATTTGCTGTACTTGTATAACATACGCTCAGGCAAAAGCAAGTCTTTCTTTTCTTATGTGGGCGTGACACTTGTCAGTTTGTTGAGGCAAAAGCTATGACATAGAACTGTCTGTTCAAGTGCTTCTGTCAAATGGATGCTTTGAGTCCAAAGAATGGTGCAGTGATGACTGTTTCTTTTGATGGGTTGTTGACTCCAAGAGCAGGAACACCAACTTGCAGCTGTAGAGTGTATGGAGCACTCCAAGCAAACTTTTTTTTGTACAGTCAAATCTCATCTATTCAAACACACTTAATTCAAGCTTCCTGTTGATTAAAATTGACGCTATGGTCCCGTCAAAGCTTTGTGTATTCCAATAGGTGAAAACGCCCTATAATTCGAAGGCGCAAGCATTCGAGACAGTTTATTTGAACGTACCATGCTCCGAAAATGCTCTTGGCACTACACCCGATCCCGTGGCGGCACCTCCGATACCTCAACACTGCGTGCGAAGAAGGAAAAGAAGAAAAAGAAGAAAAAAGGCTGCGGCGGAATATTTGCTCTCTCTCAAATGCCGATCTGTGACACGCTTGTGCAACGATTCTGCCTTTTGCCTCTCTGCACGTAGAGACCCTTCTTCTTTCAACGTTGGGCGCAAAGAGAGAGAGGAAAAAGAAAAAAAAGCTGTCACGAAGTGTTGGCTCTCTCTGTGAAATGCCGATCTGTGACGCGCCGGTGCCACGCTTTCTCCTTTCTTGTCCCTGCCACGTAGAGATCTTTCTCCTTTCAATGCTGCGTGTGAAGAAAAGAAACAAACAAAAAAAGCTGCCGCAGAGTGTTGGTTTCTCGAATGCCAGTCTGCTTCTCTTCGTGTGGAGACGATCCTTTCCCGTCACGTGCTGGCCATGGCTGCGGCGCAGAGGGCAACAGTGAAGACGGAGTCATTGTCGATGTCCTTATAGACTGTCGACGCTGAACATTGCTGCACGTAACTTCTCTTGCCAGGAGAATTCTGAAGCCGAAGTAGAAATTCTTTGCAAGCTGCATGGGAAATTGATTGCCTCGCTGCAAGGCAAAGGTGTGCAGACGTACATTACCGATTACTTCAATTAATGATGGTTGTCCCGTAATTTGTGAATAAATGTAAGTCTTCTGAAACTTACACCTCGTGTGTTAGCTCTATGCACATGCGCCACTGCATGGTGAGCCCTCCGTTCATTTAGCTTTCAATAATTTGAACTTCTTTCAATTCGAACAACCTTTCGGGCCCCTTCGAGTTCAAATTATCGAGATTCAACTGTAGTATCAGAGTGCTTGCTTCCAAATACTCTGACATTCTTCTGCTACTCACACTACTGATGTCAAAGAAGAAAGAATTTTATTATTTTTTTAGGGAGCTACTAGTTGGCAAATGTTCATTCTAAAAAGAGACAGGGCGTGCACAGGCGAACACACAAAAGAAGCCAAGGAGCTGAATAAAAAGGAGGCTGTAAAATGTGAGCAAGGCTAGGAACAGATCTCGCGAAGTATGTCGCCATTCTGACTACTCTGTGCAGCAGTTCAGCAGGACTGTGCTCAGTCTTGTTTTTAGGACTCTTCATTTGCTGTGTGGCTTCAACACTCCTTTCAGGAGTTCTATCGTTGTCAAGCCAGTGCCCAAGGAATGTTTGGCGTTGAACACTCACTTGTTCTCCAGCCTTCCCAGGTGCCTGCAGCTCCACGTTTTAGACTGTCGTGCTCATGGCCGTTAGAACCTCAGACAAGGATGTCATTAGTGTGACATACAACTCACTTGGTGCCATGAAAAATGTAAGAAAGTGCAATTGAGGGTCGGTCAACGCATCCTCGATTGCACTTTCCAAAGCGAAAGTGGTAGGCTTGTGCGAAAAGTAAATTTTAAGTTTGAATCGAACAGTGATTTTGATTGAGTATCTCAAATCGACTTCAAATAGTACTATGTCACATATTTTAAAGGAAAATGGGCATAATCGTCATGACTGGGGGCCGGATTATAGGCAAATGCCTATTTTGTTCCTTGCATTCCTATCGTGCCATTTTGATATATGAGCATGAATTAGAAATTAAGAAGGACTTTTGTAGTGTTTTTATAGTGCTTATAAGTGCCTATTTCAGGTGTTCATGCCTAAGTGCGTATAAGTGCCTATAAATGCCTATTTTCCAAATCAGTGCCTATATGCGTGCTATTTAAGCCTGAATTTTGTTTTCGAGCACGGTTTGAAACCGTTACTCATATAAAAAAGGCGACATTGATAATTCCAAAAACTGTGAGGTTCAACGAAGTCCTCTAGTTCTACCAACTTTTGCATAACAACAGCTAACCGAAGTAAAATGACACTCGTTGGCCACCATATGCGAGGGATTGAAGGAGGAGCATGAGGAGTGCGAAATACGCTATTTCTCAGCCCCAAGTGGAAGCAGCATCTGCAGGGGAATGCGGAAAGAGAATTAAAAGTGGGATGAAAAGGGGCGTCTATGGCCGACGCCGTCAACTACAGAGAGCTGTCCAGTTCCCTCAAGGAAAGAACAGCAGCTTTTTCTGTGCAGCCGTGGGTAAGTGGAGAATGAATTAAAAACCATTGAGGGCCACTCATTGAATGCTCATGTTGATTCAGTGGTGGTGAACGCCACCAAATCGTTATATTTAATACAGCGAAGTCTGAGACAGGCACCGGCATGTTTACAATCAATGGTGTATTTAGCATACATTCCCCCTATGTCTAAATACACTCATGTTCTATGAGATTCCTTGGCATATGTCTTCAAGTGACAAACATGAAAAAATGTAGAACAGCGCTGCAGGGTTTGTCCTAAGCCATTACTCAAAAGATGACAGCTGTACCAATATGAAAAATGAACTAGGATGGGAAGTGCTATCATCGCACCGAATTAAACTGCTCTCGAAGGTCTTATGGCTATCATGTCATGGTAAAACTCCCAATCGAAAATTATTGTATTCAAACAGTCCTCTTCGCGCAATGGTAATTGTTTTCAGATTTTAGAATGTTGAATGTTTATATTACAGTCAAACCTCAATATATCGAATGGTTCCTATATCACGCGGGAAATCACATGCATTATTGATTTTTATTTCGAACAAAGTTTGACATATAATGGATATATCGAACTCAGCCACCCCAAACCGCCCGCGCTCCATTGACAGGCGGCGAGCTTTCCTGCAACTCTCGAAAGTAGCGGTAGAACGGCAGGCGTTTACGAATGCTGCACACAACATCGATGACGCCGAGAGCGCCACTTTAACCTAGCGGCGTACGCGCGCCGCAGCCTTGCGGTAGAGGTTCTTGAATGAGGAAAGTGAAGAGAAAAGCGTGGAGCTGTTATTGTCTTTTAATACGAAGGCACTGACACAGCTTCGCACGGGGGACGGGGGAGTGGGAGGTAAAGATTGAGGAGGAAAGTATAGGAGGGAAAGGACGCAGACGACTGTCTCGGACACGGCCCGCACTGCCGCCGGGAAAGGGAAAGCAGTCAGGTGAGCCGGCATGGGCGCGCCATGTGCGCGCTTTACACCCGGACTCATGCCACAGCCTTGCAGCTCAGTCGTTGCAGTCTCTATGGTGTCAACGGCACACTGCGCACTTGTTGCAAGCTCCTCCCCCATAGCATCGGCAGGCATCGGTCGTAGTGCTCGCAGTGTTCTTGCATTCGGAGTTAGGCCTGTCGCGCGC